GGGGTGGGGGGGAGGGAGCCCTCCAGCAGCCCTCCAGCAGCCCCCCAATGCTGGCTGGGGTCCCAGAATGGCAGAAACAACCAAAAGGCTGATTCCACCACAGGCATTGATGGTGGGGTGAAGGTGTTTTACAGATCCAGCGGTGCAGAGAAGCACCAGCACTGACTTGTGTGTGGGAGAGCCTTAGGCAGGGGTAAAAACTGAATTTACAGGAGCAGGGCTGCCTTCCCCCCAGCTCAGCATCCCCAGCTGCAGGGTGGATAAAATATCCTTTGTCTGGGCATGACCAGAGCAGCTCCTTGGTGGCAGGGCCCAAACTCCTGAGGCTTTCTTTGGAATATAAGTTTCACATGGGTTTTGTGCTAGTCCTTCTCTCAGAGATCAGGTTATTCTGTCTTTTATGTATTGCTTATTGTCTTTGTTTCTCTCCTGGTTTTCATCTTGAATTTAAAAAGAAAACCCAAACACAAACCCAGACAAACACCTTCTTCCTTTACACATGGAGAAAAAGAAAAAAAGAAGCACAGTTCAAGAAGCAACATTTGATCCAAAGTAGTATAGGATGGCAGGAGTCTGCTCCTGCTTGTTTCCGTCATTTACACATGGGTTCAGGTGGATAACTTGTGGTATTATGATTCTCAGCCTTAATGAGAGGGGAAAAGATGACTGCAAGACAGTGATCTGCCTGAGCATATCATGAACACAGTCCTGAAAGGACAGGAAAGTGACTAATTAAACTAAATAAATATGAATTTGATCAATGCCTGGTGAATACTTGTTAGAGAAGCAAACATCGGGTCAAAAAAAAGAAAAAGGGAATGTGAAGGTTCAAGGATAGTAGCTCTAAATTACCTTTGGATGGCAGTGGGCTCAGGGACAAGAGCTGAGTCCCCCGCCAGCCGTGCCGGTGACGGGGATGCTGTGGGTGGGTGGTGGAGCCGGGGCAGCACCGGGGGGGCCTGGCCAAATCACCTTCCTCCCCGTGCTGCCATCTCTGCCAGCCGAAATAGCTGTGGGAGCTGTGAGATCAGTGCTTGATCTTACTGAAGGGGGTTTCTTCACCTCAGCTGTCACCCCACTTACAGGAAGGGTTCTTGTGAATATGGTCTGGGGTTGTAGCAAAACAGCACAGCTGGGCACTGAGGACTGGCTCTGAGGAAAGGATTCATGGCTGAATATTCCCCCAGAGAAAACGCTGACATTATCTTCTCTGTTACCACTTATTTCATGGTGTTTTAATATGCTTTCCAAAGGTGTTAAATCAGAGAGATGAAAAAACACATAATGGACAGTCAGGTGTCATGGTGAGGACAGAGGGACCTGTCTCAGTTTGGGGCAGTCACTGTAGATTTTTCTCTCTTACAAAGACAACTGATGAGGATTTTTGAGGAACCACTTCTGAAAAACAGAGGCTTATTTTTTAGGCTTTTTTTTTTTCCTTTTCTATAATGTTACTCTATCCCTGTTGGCAGGGGAGGTAGGAGTGCCCCACACTGCCCATGACAACTCCAGGGACCTGCCACCCTGGCCACACTTGGGCAGAGCTGCTGCAGGGTGCCAAGGGAGGCACAGGATGTGCTTCATGCACAAGTTAGTCTTTCTGCTGCTGTTTCTATTAACAGAAAATAGAAAACAGCTCAGAGTAACAGGGCTGGAAAAATAAAGAATGCCATTTCTAATCCTGTAAACTGACAGGGAAGATGTTGATTAGCAGCTTGCAAAGACACAGCAATGTTTTGAACCGGCTCAACTTTACCCAGCCCGCTGAAGGCGAGGGTTTACACACGGATGTATTTATTTCAGACCACTCTTTAATACTGACCTTGCTGATATTACAAGAAGATATTTTTTAGAATGCAGATCTCTTTTTCTTTTGTAATAAGAAAGATGGCAGCTGTGATTGTGTAAAAAAGTGGGTGCACCCAAATGGGCTCTACTTCACTTTTTTGTGTTAGGTTAAATACACTGAATATTTCTATCTAATTCTCTAGGAGAAATTAAGAGTATAAACCTGTTTTGTTTCCGTTGCCTCCCAGTGTGCCCCCGATGACAGAGGCAGTGGCCAGGCAAGCCCTCCTGCGCTTCGTGGCCTCGCGATGCTGCTACGGGAGCAGAGCTGTGGGTGAGCTGGCCATCCGGCGTCTGCGCCCGCTGGGCACGTACCGAGTGAGTACCTCCAGACCGGGTGTCTTGGGTACCTCTTCTGAGCACCTGGGATAATTTCCAATTACATAGTGACACGGGGTCACAAAGAGCCACCCATTCATGAAATTAAATGGCTTTCATCCTACTTTAAGTGCCAAGTGCTTTCCAGGAAGAGTCTACCTAAGAGTTGAGTGAAGGTTTTATAGCTGAAAAGTCCATCCTCTACAGTAAAGCACCACCTCAGCAAAGCCTCTGGAAGCCTTCTCTGTCCACCTAGCTTTGGCAAAAGAACCCTTTCCTTACCTAAACCACAGGAACCTGCCCTGCAGCTTGGTATATTGGGCTCAGACAAGCATAGAGGGACCTGTAATGCCACACATTCCCCTAGCCATGAATCTATTCTGGTAATGTTTAATTTCACAGAAAACATCTGGGCTTTGATTCCCTAGTGTCACACAGAATCACACAGAATCGTCAAGGTCGGAAAAGACCTTGAAGATCATCTGGTCCAACCATTAACCTAAAACTGACAGTTCCCAACTACACCATATTCCTAAGCACTATGTCTGGGAAATTAAAGTCTCCCACAAGAACAAGGGCACGCAATTGTGAGATTTCTGCTAAATGCCTACAATATATTTCATCCACCTCTCTGTCCTGGTTGGGTGGCCTGTAGTAAACTCCTACTACAACATCTGCCCTGTTGGCCTTCCCCCTGATTCTAACACAAAGACACTCCACCCTGTCCTCACTATACTTGTGCTTAAAGCAATTGTGACAGTCCCTGACACACAGCGCCACCCCTCTGCCTCTCCTTCCTTGTCTATCTCTCCTAGAGAGCTCGTAGCCATCAGCTGGTGCACTCCAGTCATGGGAGACATCCCACCATGTTTCCGTAATAGCCACGACATCACTATTTTTGTGCTGCATCATGTTTTCAAGCTCCTCCTGTTTGTTACCCATGCTGTGTGCATTGGTACACAGGCACTGCGGATGGGCTGATGTCCCCAGCACCTTTTCACATTTAAAGGTCCTGAGTCTGGCCTGACCTTTCACAGGTGTTACCACGATTACTTATTCATCCATATCCCTTGCATCTTTGTTATGCTGCTTGTCTCCATCCCTTGCCTCCGCTGGGATGGCAGGGTGAGGGTCATCGTTGGCACAACAGCCCACAAACTCTGGTCATCTAACCTGGGGCTTATGCCTGGGAGTTCCAGTTTTGTCCCCTTCCCCCTTCAAATCTAGTTTAAAGCTCTCTCAATGAGCCCTGCCCCAAGATCCTTTTCCCCCTCTGGGACAGGTGCATCCCATCTGATGCCAAAACCTCTGGAGTCCTGTATACTAACCCATGATTAAAAAATCCAAAGTTCTCCTGGTAGCACCAGTCTTGGAGCCACAAGTTCATCTGTTGGGTTCTCCTGTAATCTTCTTCATCCATCCCCACAACTGAAGGGATGAAGGAGAACACAATTTGTGCCCCTGACCCCTTAACCAGTTTCCACAAGACCATGAAATCTCTCTTCATTGATTTAAGACTTCTCCTGGTAATATCGTCATTACCTGCCTGAAAAACCAAGAGAGGATAGTAGTCCTTGGGTCTCACTAGAGTGGGGAATTTAGCCGTGAGGTCCTTCACTTGGGTCCCTGGGGAGGCAGCAGAGTTCCCTATGACACGGGTCTGGTCTGCATTGGGCCTTCGACACCCCTCAGAACGGTGTCACCCACTACAATGACCTTTCTGGGGTTCTTTTTAGAATTGGTTTTAATACCTAGTCTAGAGCGACCCGGCCTTGGTGGACCTTGATCTTCCTCCTTGTTTGACTCATTCTCTTCATCCTTCTCTACTTCATTCAAAAGTTCCAGGTCCCCGTATCTGTTGTGAAGGGGCACCATGGAAGGTGAGGGAGGTCGGGAGGGGATTTTCCTGCCTCCCTGAGCAGAAACTTGTTTCCAGTCTCACCCATCTCTTAGGTCCCCTCCTTCTGCCTGGTTGCAAGAGGGAGAGGGATCACCTGCCTCTTCTGGGGCCTCCATTTGCTCCTGTTACTTCAGGGGTGCCAAGGTGCTACTGCACCAATCAATCGCCCTTTCACACTCCCTAATAATCTTTCAACCTCTTCTTTGAGTCCCGCCGCCAGGCCGAGCCGCGCATCCAGCCGAGCCCGGCGCACACGGTGCTGTCACTGCTGGCCCCGACAGGGCTGCCAGGCTCAGGCACTCCCGCAGCCGGGGCCCGGGCCGCCGCGTGGTTGTGTGGCAGCTCCCTCTGGGTCGCCGCGTCCTTGCTGCGGTGGTTTTGCCCCGAGCGGAGACCATGGTTCAGTCTCCTCGGGGGGACGATGCCACTCGCTCAGAGGAGCTCCAGGGCCCGGAGAGGGCCTGTGCCCTGTCCGCCCGCCCTGCCCGCACGAACTGCCGCGCCAACCGCCGCCCCGCGCCCTTCCGAGGCTCCGCGCCCTGTTTCCCGCCCTGTTGCCGTGCTCCTGGTCGCTCGCGCTCCCTGGGGCTGCTCCTGGACGTGGCGGCCGTTGGGCGCCGTCACTCCGGGCTCTGCCCGCTCTGGGTCCCCGCTGCCCTCTTTCCCAGCTCACTCTCCCTGCTCAGGGGGAGCGGCTTGAGGCTCTCCCTCTTCCCCGGGCTTCTGCCTTCTCGGCTTGTTGTTTTGCTGTGGGTTTTTTGCCACTTTCAGGAGGATCTCCCACTGCTATCCTCCTCTTTGGAGTCCCTCTCCTCAGCAACTGACAATCACTATTGCAGATTTGGTGCTTGCTGCCGTGAGCAGCTGGCTCTCAAGTCAGTCCTGAGTTGGGGAATCGTTGCTTGTGGTGGAGTACCCAACACACCAAACTGGTGGGTTCAGGGCCAGGCTTTGATGCAGGCCTGGCCTGGGTAGCTGATATGGGGAGTACTGCAGTGCCCACCCCTGATTCCTTTTCTGGGGCTTCTTGGAGGGGATGATGCAAGGGCACTGAGGAGCACGGTGCTGGGAGTGCCCTTTGGTAGGCACTGTGCGGCAGATAGTCCTTTATGCTAATGTTTGTTCCACTTCTGAGATTATTCAGATTACTCACAAACATTATCCAGGCCTTCCCTAGAAAATAAGCCTCAGCTTTCTTCAAATAATGGTAAAATGCACTTTTGCTGTGAAAATACCAACCAGTTTTTCTTATGCAAGTTGTACTCAGAGACAGAAGAGTCTGGGAATGCCCTCAAGACTCATTATTAGCAAGTCACAGTTCAAATTTAAATGCCTGCTTTGTACAAGTTGTCTTTGTGGTGAGTGCGTGATTTTTCTCTTCTAGTATCGACTGGAGACGTTCAGTGAGTCGAGGTTAAGCGAGTGGGTGTTCGAGCCCTTCACCAGTAAGTGACTGCCCTGAATCCCAATGGAATAGCTCTCGTGGGACCTGCCCCACACGTTGCAGCTGGAGTCTGTGGCAGTGTCACGGTCCAGGGCTCGTGGGGCTCCTGGAGATGACTTGAACCTGGTTTAATGTGCATTAGGTTTACCTCATCCCTTGTAGCCTTTTGCACTCTGCAGGACCCATGAAGCTGGGGCAAAATGCTTTCTTTCACAAGCTTAGTTTGCTTTCCTCATGTTATGGGAGGCTTTGTTGCATGCCCTGGGAGCAGAAGCTATTAGCTCCCTGCCTCCTACCAAGTGCAATGTATATTCAAAGCTTGTCAAGATTTACAATGAGCACCTGTGAGCCCACTTTTTACTAACCTGCTGAGGAGTGCACGGGATTCCTGCCCCTGGTTTTTGGTGGCTGATCCCAGGGGCCTTCACTGGTTTGGGTGAGTCTGCTGGGAGGGCTGTGGGGGAGACAGGGGCTGTGCTGTAGCAGCAGGAGGATGCTCAGCACCTCTGGGTGGCACAGATCATGTAGGGTTGGTTCCTGGTGCAATGCCTGCATGGGGATGGGGTGTGAAGCCATCATCCAATCACCCCCTCCATCAAGGTGAATAAGACGCCATTCCCCTCTTGCAGAGCCTGGAGCAGCTGGACCCTCTGGGGACACCCCCATGGACCCCTGGGACGTGGACATTGGGGCTCCCCCACTCTTTCAGGGCCAGACAAGGCGCTGCCGGGTGCCCCACTCGGTGCTGGTCAGGGTGAGTCCCCGCTCGCTGTCAGCTGCTCATGGGAGACCGTTCCCCTGCCAATGGGCTCCTCAGGGCTCTGGGAGCAGCCCCCAGTGTCCCTTCCCCAGCTGATGGGCTCCTTGGGGCTGGGGGAACAGCCCCCATGGTCCCTTCACCAGGACCAGCTCTCTGGGGATAGTGACTGGCACCTCACTATGGTTCTCATTTTCTTGTGTTTTTCCTCATTAAACACCAGGGAAAATAGTCAGAGATTGCTTCTTCTCGGTGTTTTCTTCCTCTAGATGTTTGAGGACAAATCCTGCTGCAGCCTTTTCAAGAAACAGCACCAGATAATCTTTCCACTTTGTTAATTTTTTTTTTTCAATGTTAGCAGAACATTTGTTTGCATGACAGTTCCCATTTAGCTTTTGACAAGCTCTATAGCTGGTCAATTTATTTCACTTTTTAAGTGAAATGATGAATAAAGAAAAAAAATTACTTTCTTTTGCCAGCACTACATAGACATTGGCCTTTGTTAAATAATTATTATTTATAACTCCTTTAATGGCTGTACAGCACAATTTTATGGTGTTGGATTCTGTCCCGTTAGGACCAGAATTTTATCACTGAATTTAGATGCAGGAAGAGTGCATGTGCATAATACGAGATAACTGAAATCCCTGGGCAGCTCTGTGCATGAATAATCTTCTGATTTCAGGACTGTCACAGATGCTGTGGTCATGGCCGGTCCAAGTGCGGGGTGTGCCATGGGGCAGGTCGGGTAAGGAGCTGGGAAACCTTCACCAGGCAGCCTACTTTCCCTAGTCCTCTGAGTTTGATGTTCATCTGCAAATTTACAACATGTGCTACCTTACTGCTGTACTTATTACAAGGGTTGGAAGTCTGAGGGCGAGTTGTCGTTTATTCCCCCCAAACCCATTTGTGTTCAGTCCAATTTCCTGGGTCCTGCAAAAATGCTGGAAGGGGTTGTCAAAATCCTGCCCAGGTAGAAAAGATGTCTTACCCCATCCTCAGTCAACACCTCCATGTTACCGTGGGGAGAGGGAAAGGAGAATTTGCTTCTGCACTGTTGAAAAGAGGTCAGATCTCAGGTGTGAAATGCAGCAAAGTGTTTGCCGCCTTTCAGAAATGCTTTGTTGTGCATTTGGGGTTTCTGAAGGGGAGAGGAGGCTTAACCCAGGGATGGAGTGCAGTGACAAATCTGCCCTCCTATCTTTATTTGTTCTTCTGCACAGATATTTCCAGACAGCTGAAAGGAGTATTGTCATTGTGCAGATTTGCCACTTAGTTAAAGTCAATCTGATTAAATAGGAGAACTTAAAGTATGCTACTAATGACAAGAATAAGTAACAGTGGAAAAAAACGCATGTGTAAGAAAAAAGTCATTTCAACCTAGGTTGTGTGTCTAGTTTGCATCACTGATGAGTTTGACTGGAACACCTAATTAATCCAGGGTCACAATTTATGGGCTATTTTGTACACTTTTAATTTACAATGTACGTACCTGGCATATGGCTTTCTTTACAAGCCTGAGTTAGCAATTATTTTGATAATGTGCATAAAAGCTTTTGGTTTATAAACCTGACATGTTTTTATTCTAGCAGCCACCACCTGTTTTAATTCTTCGGTGTATTTGCAGACGAGGTGTGTAACATGCAAGGGGTCCCGCCGGAGGCTGAAGCAGCAGAAGAGATGCCAGCTTTGCTCAGGTACAGGTCGCAAAAGGTACGATGGGCTCCTCTGCACGTCACTTGGTGTGTCTCTGCTTGGGCCAAATTGCTTCCCTTAGTCTGTGTTTGCTCACACAATGGTACGGTTATGAGAAACCAGTCACCCCAGTCCCACTGCCTTGGTGGAGGTTATCAGCTGAGGGTCTAATAGTAGAAGGAAAAGTTGGGAAGTTGGTAGGGGAAAAAGGCCGTTAGTCCAGTATGTTTGAGCCAAAATGACTCCACTTGCATGCTTCTGGCAGCAGTTACAGCGCAGAGCTCTACATGCCTGTGCGCTTTTGTTATTTCCTACCATGAAGACGCCTAACAGATAAAGCAGTGCAGCAGTAGCTTTATTCTCCAGGAATAATGGTTAGAAATAGCCTTTTCCCCCCTCTGATTTTTAAATGAACTTTCATTTTAACATCTAATATTCATTCTGTGTGGGCTGCTCTCAGCATTCAGAAACCAGGCTGATATCCCAGACTCATGAGAGAAGCTCTTAAGCATTTGGAAAAGAATATCTTTTTGGCCTGCCTTTCTTCCAACTTTTGTACCTTTCTGTTACAAGACTGTTTCCTCTCCCAGCTTCTCTGGGAAACTGGAGAGAGCTTTGGGTTTTCCAGTGAAAGCAAAGTTTCTTGGACCTTCAGGAGCTGCAGCAGCAAAGAGGCTTTGAGTGTCTCCAAGTCAGTGCTGAAGCTCCTGTCTCAGGTCCTGGCAGGCTCTGCTCGGCTCAGTCAAAGAGGGGTAGTGGGATGGGCTGCAAGGAACCAGCTTGGGGTGGCAGCAGCAAACTTCCGAGTGGCTCTTCCACATGTTCCTGCAGCATCTGTTTGGGCTTTGGCAGGTTTCACAGAGAGCACAGACTGGACAATTATTACAACCCTCTGTTTTTTCCAAACATGAAACTTAACAGGCTTAAAAATGATCTTTAAGTGACAAAAAAAAGAGCAAGCACTATTCTAAAACTGTTTTGTTTATGTGGCTTCATTAAGTTTAAAATAACAGAGATGGTATCTTGCATAATCATGGCAGTCATTTTAAAGCATGAATCCACTGGGACTAATGATGGCTTGAAGAGCCTTAATGAATCAGTTGTTAACTGCTGCTAATCTGTGTTGCATTGATGCAATCAAAATGCTCCATGCATAAGCATATGCCTCCTGCATCTGTTAGAAGCACAGGCAGCAGTGTCTTCAAAGTGACACTCATCTTCCTACCGTTGTGTGGGGAAATTGTGATTATCCTTAATTAGATGTACAAATACATTCTTTGACTAATTCCACATTTACAAATAGATTTGAGGCTGGCATTAGTCATTTGTTTTTCCCAGCAAATACGTTATATCCCTTGAGTCACAGACTGGGGGAAGATGTATGTGCGGTGCATCTGCTATCGTTGACTCCTGTAGCTGCTGACCCAGCTGAGCTACACAGACAGTCTGAAATAAATCACCCCCAGGTCTGCAGGCCTCTGAAAGCTGGCAGTGTTTAAAATCCCATTTAAATTCCTTTTTGTCGCATCCAAAGATGCAATACCTGTTCTGGCCGGGGCAGCAAGACCTGTGTGACCTGTCAGGGGGAGAAAAAGCTCCAACATTTCAAGCAGCTGGTGATAACTTGGTAAGTAGCACAGGTAGAAGTCCAGAGCTGTTACTTCTATTCCTTATTTTACTGCAAGGCTTGGTTACTCATCTGGGCTCCCTAAGGGGAGGCTGTGAGACTATTTCTTGCCTTTGTTCAGGCAGAAACAGGGGCTTAGAGGAGCAGCTTTAGCCCTTAATGATGGCAGTCTTGTCCACAGGGCGTGGTGGAGGCTGCAGTGGGTTCTGAGGTGAAGGATGGCCCAAAGTCACACAAGAAGTCAGAGATGGAGCCAGAGCAGCTGGGCAAACATGGAGCTGGCGCATGCTGGACTCAAAGCCCCTGGAAGCCCCCAGGGCAGTGCTCCAGCTCCTTTTCTCAGGGCTTTAGTGACAGACAGCCCAGGGCTGCTGGCTCTGGTGTTGCTCTGGCACATCCCATTTGGGAGCTGTAATGCCAGAGATAACAGATGGGGCTGGAAAAGATCTTAGCTTGTGAGGTTTAGCTAAAAGCCATTACCTGCCCTGCTGGGTGCTTCCTGAGCACTTTCCCATTTTTTGTACAAAATGCCTTCAATTACCCTGTGTGAAGACCTGCATTTTTCAAAACACCATCTCTATCCATCCTGAGAGACTGGAAATTGCCCCAGGTGTGTCCATCATGCTGGTGGGACTCTGGGGGGTGCAGGGCCCCCAGGGCTGAGCTACCCCAGACAAGCACAGCTCTGTCAGATGAGACCTTCAGATTCTTTGGCACTAACCATGCCCCTGTCCTACAGGTAATAGAGCAAAATGGTTCACTGTAAGAGGAGCCGTGGCTTTGGAAAGGGAATTGAAGTCCTCTGCTGCAGCAGGGAGTTATGAGGCTCTGAAAGCTGTAAGGCAAGGGGATCGTCATGAAGGTCTGATTTCAGGATTATTTATGCAAGAGCCATCCATGGTTATTGCACATACAAAGTTAGGCAGGCATGACTATTATCCTCAGAAAGCAAGGAGCACCCAAACATTACTCAGGCATTTAGACAGAGCCTGGAACTAGCTCAGCTCAGATTGTGCAGTTGTTTTCCCTCTCTCTTGCAGGAAGAACAATGTCTTTGAATTTGTTTCTGAGCATCATCTGAACTTCCCAGGAGAATTGCTCAGCAAAGTCAGTGGAGCAAATATATTTAAAGATGAAAATGTGGTGGTGAGTGTGACTCTCGGGGCCAGAGGGAATCCCTCCCTGAGTGGCTGTAAAGAAGGGGGGATGTGAAATGCCTTCCAGCAGTGTGCCTCTGTTGTGGTGTCCAGTGGCTGATCTGGACATAGCAATAACCACTGCCCTCTCCTGCAGCAGAGCTGTGGTCCCCCATTTGCAGGGCACAGCTTTTCCCATTTCTACAGTCAGGAGAAATATAGGGAGTAATGGGATTATGAAATCCAGCAAAATTTGATCTTTTTCCATAAGCAAACCCTCAGAGGACATGACTTTGCCCCTCCCCACAGAGCCGGGAAGCTCTCGGCTGGGACAGAGATGCTTTGGGGGACCCACAGGTGACCTGTGCAGTCTGAGTGGCACCAACACCAACACAATGGGACTTCAGGCCGTTGTCCCTGCTGCAGAGCAGTCTGATCTTCCTCTGAGGAACCAAGAGTTGTTGGGTTTTCTGGCTGACAAAATGCAACCAACCTGTGCAGCGGCAGTCAGCCCTCAACCACCCCAGGTTACTTCTGGTGGCCATTGCCAGACTAGCAATATTCCACCCCAGAGTTGTTCTCCACAGCTCCCCAGCAATAGCAGGAGACATCCAGCAGCATATCCATCTCTAGGGCTTTTTATGCTGTTCCTTGCACATTTTCTGCTGCCTGTACAGCGTCGGTGCTGCTGGCTTCAGGCTTGGCAGGGAGAGGCCATGGGACGGTGGCTCTTGCCCCTTGCTGGAGTGCCTGCAGGGCATTGCCATCTAACAGCAAACCCGCCTGCCTGCAGAGCCACTGGGAGCTCATCCTGCAGGCAGGAACTGATCCTGGACCTTTGGAGCCAGGACCCAGCGCAGAGGTGCTGCTGCTGCCTGGGGCTGCTGGCCGGGCTGCCGTGGAGACCTGTGGCTGCAGGGCCCTTCAGCAAGGTGGTCGTCAGTGCTGGACATCTCCTCCAGCTCCCATGGTACAGGGCTCCCAGAGGGAATCTGCCTCTGTGTACCTGCAAAAGTCTGGAGCAAACCAGCCTGAGAACAGCTGAAGCACAGTGTCCTCCTACAGCCAATACCATTGCTGTACTGCTCCGTTCTCAGCTTGATTTTTTTTTTAATGTGAATGCTAATGTGTGAGGATTTATCCGTGCCTTTTTATTATTTATTTGTTGGTTTGCAGTAACCTGTAGAAACTTTGGTCATGTACCAAGACAGGGAGGTAGGCACCATCCAAGCACGGACCAGCTTTCCTCCAGAGAGCTATTATTCAGTGTCACGCATCTGTAGCAAAGACTTTGCATCTGGTGTTGCAGAACCCCTTTGGGATTTGAATGATGTTTTAGCATCTGAGTCATTCTCCAACAAACACTTTATCTCTGGAGTCCTATGAGCATTACAATCAGTGGGCCTCTTACATAAATAGGTATAACTCCTGGCTATGCAAGAAATAGCTGACTGGTTCTGCCTTGCCTCCAAGTCCAGTATTTCTTCTGCAAATTGTCCACATGCTGGGTGAAAACAGAGATGCTTAAAAAAACCTTTCAAATGTAACAGTGCTGCACTGCTGGAGAAGGTGACAGTGAATTCTGTTGGGGCACAGAGTCAGAGTCACTCAGTGCCAGTTTTTAGCCAGACGTGGCTGGGAGTAGCAGCCTCTCCCCATGCTGTCCTGCTCCACGGGCAGCACTAAGCTCTGCCTAGAGAGGCACAGTCCCTACTTTGGACACTTCTACATTTTGCTGGGGTGGGATGGACATGCCTGGAACTTCGAGCTTACTGTTTATGTTGTGTATTTCCACTCTATGCCCAGGTCTTTCCTTGCGTGTGCTGGTAACAGGTGAAATGAATATGCTTGTGCCAGACAAATAGGGTCTCTCTTTTGCACGGTCGGGTTTATTTCTTGCAGGTATACCCCATCATCGACTTTCCTGATCCTGAGATCTCCCTGGCCTCACAGCGAGCCATCACAGAGCACAGCACAGCGCTGGCCACGTCCTCCCGCATCCTCCGGCAGGTAAGGGGGAGCCCAGAGCAGAGCCACCCCTGTGCCCAGCGGGCAGCTAATGAAGCCCCATTAGTGAGCTTGGTCAGACACTATAAGATGTTGAGAATAGTAACTGATTTTATTTTTTATTTAGAGGTGATCTTTAGCAAATGAAAAAGAAATTCTAACTATCGAAGAAATCTTAATTATCAAGTGAAATACCAGGGAAATAATTTTTCAGACGTATTGAAAGATGGAGGAGACTGTGGTTATTATTGTTCCTTTTACCTTTTCAGAGCCCTGGAAAACATTATTTATTACCACTATTTTTATCTTGGAAGCTAATTTTGAATAAACATTAGGATTCCACTCCATCTGATTCTTGCTAGAGTGTTGTAATCTCTGTCGCTGCTATTATAAATGTGATTGCGAATGCAAAAGTTTAGCTAGAACATACTGTCTTTTCACCCACAGGAAAGAGAAGGTTTCACATTAAAAATGCAAGTAAACTGAAAGACCAAAATAAACTTAAAGGGAGATGGTTTGATTTTCCATGTGGTCTGTCAAAACCAGCTCTTTGGCAAATTTCTATCTTCCAACTTAATTCCAGCCTATAATTTCCACTTCTCAGCATCAAAGGCAGTTTGTTCACTAGATTGCTGCACTCCAGCCAAAGGCTGCGCTAGCTGTATGGCAACGCAGGTGCTGAAAACCTCCCACCCTGCCAAATCCCTGGCACCACACGGTATTTATGCTGGTCCGAGCTGCCTTCTGCCGGTGCTTTCCCCACCACTGAATTTTTCATCCCCTCTGCTCGTTGTTGGCTGAGGTTCCTCCACTTAATATTCAGAATCTTTTGGAAAAAGCTGGTGGTGGAGGGGGGGGGAGTGTCTTCTTTGCTTGCCTGACGCTATTGTGGTTTCTTATGACGTTGGCCGTGTGTTGGAGGTCAATACCCACTGGGGTTGGAGAGGCTGGAGCCCGGCAGACTTTGCTGAGCTCATAGAGCTTTATTTAAAACAGAGACTTTGTGTGTGACTAGAACAAGATGTGAGAGTTGGGGTGGGCGCTGGGGCTGCACTGGCTGCTCGGGAGAGCTGACCAGCTGCGGGGCACCGCACGCACGGCTCTCCTCCCTCTCCCACCCCACCGGGCAGCTCTAAGGGGCTGGGCATGTCGCTGAGCTCGAGCTTGCCCGGGTCCTGGCTGATCACAGACTTAAAATTCACTAAAACTTGGGTTTGGTTGGTGTTAGGGAAAGGTGGAGATTGCTAAACTCTTTCTGCAAAGAAAAGGAAGGAGCAAAGTGGGTCCCTCCAGGAGGAGGTAAGGTGCCACCGCAGCACTGACACCAGCCTGTCACTTGTAATTCAGCCTTGAATAATAATCATCAGATAAGAGGAGATGAAAGCAGCTTCCTTCCCCCTCAGACAGGGAAGGGAGCAGCGCAGCAGGGGTTAAATCTGCAGCAATTTCTGCCGCAGTAACACAGCACAGTGTGGCCCATCACCAGCATCTCTTCCTGCTTCCAAGGGACAGAGGTGACGTGTGTCCACAAAGGTGGTGATCTGCCACCAGCGCCAGTGGTTCCTGGCACACACCCAGACTCCCACAGCTCCTCCTGTTCCCAGAGTGTGGACCAGGAACCGCCGTCACACACAGACCTCAACCATGCAGGAGACGGCGTATGATAATGCACTGAAGACTGGAAACAAGGCTTTAAGGATTTAAGGAATTAGTTTAAATAGCCATAAATGCAACAAAAGTGGTCTAGTACACAAAGGCCAAAACATGTTATCTCCATGCTAGCGGCACTAGGGGAATTTCTGATGGCTGTAGTGATGGATGTCCACTGGGTTTTCCTTTCCCCTTCACAAAGCAGCAGCAATCTTGGAGCTGCAAAGTTTGTAGCTAAAAGTTGAGGCTTTTTTCCCCCTTACATGTGTTGGTCTAAAGGAAGATACAGCATCTGCTCCAAACTGCTTATTTAATTTGAGCTTTTCCTTTCCCAGCGTCAAACAATTGAGCTAATCCCCATCACAGAAGTTCACTACCAGTATTCAGGGAAGCCTTACCTCTACTACATCTATGGGCTCGAAAACAAGGTGTATGCGCTGGACTACCCTGAGAGGTGCTGCTGCAGCTGCACCATCCTCTGAGAGCTGGCATGTGAGAAAGGCACAATTGCAGCAGCAATCGTGGGGACTTGGGGATGTTCCGGGACCTTTCCCACCACACTGGCTGTGCTTACAGAGGACTGCAAACAAAATAAAGAAGAAGAAGAAAACCATTACTCCCCTCCCTCCAAACTGCTTTTATCTCAGAGCCAGGCCCAGCTCCAGGCTGCTGCTGGGTGCAGGACCTGGCCTTTGGGTAAAGATTCCTGCCGTGGGTGTTTGTTGCAGAGCTGTATCATTAAAGTGATGCCTATTGACAGAGACATTTTCAGTACAACTATGCAGTTTATGACCAGTGTCTGCCTTTCCCTGTTTTATTTGTCAGTTTTCCTGAGTTACTACATAATCTATAATGATATATTTCAAAATCTATCCAATTAGCAAATCTAACTTCAGAGGATTTCATTTTAAAACACCCAGTAACACCATCTGAGGAGTGGTTGCACCATTACAAAAATTATTGTCTAAGAAAAAAAGAATAAAAGGCTCTTGCATGCGATGCCCTGGGTGGTTGCAGGGATGGGGAGAGCAGGATGTTGCAGGGGGGGAGGACGTGGGGTCACCCCTGTGCCTGTGGGCTGGGGGAAGAGGAGCTCTGCCCCTGGGGACAGCACCCGTGCCCGGGCCTCATCCAGACAAGGGGCATTGGCTCAAGTGCCCACAGGAGGCAGTTCTGCCACGTCCTCCTCTTTTTTTATTACCAGTGTTACAACATTTATCTCAGAAAAGCTTGCAGGGGAACCTCAGCTCGCTTTGGGTTTAAGGCTAATTTAATTTAACTGCAAACACTTGGGTTTGCAGTGCAGAGCTTGAGGAGATAAAGCAAACAGACCCTAAAAAGTTCAGAAATGTGCAAGCAAACAGACAGACACCAACACTCCTATTTAAAAACAAACCAAACAATCCTCCTCTCCTCCCCCACGATTTTTTACATATTGTAGTTCCTGCACTGTTTGGGGCCTAATGGAGGGGTTTCACATGGGTGATGCTGGCAGCCCCCAGCAGACTGAGCATCCCATGGGGATGTGCTCCCCTGCAGCCTGGCACTCTCGTTGTGCTGAAGTGCCAGCTGAGTCAGGGGGTTATCACAGCAAAATCCACACAGGAGAAACACAGCTCGAGGGGCTGGGAAAGTTTTAAAAGATAAAGACCCATATGTCAGCTTGAACAGGGATTGTGAGGGGTGAGAGTGAGGAAAAAGCGACTGGGAAAAGACACAGCAACTGACAAATTTTAAACAAGTGAGTTGAAAAATACTTTGTAAAGGAAGTGTTTTCTAAAATGAAACAAAAACATGTGGTTTCTGCTCATGTGTAAAGCAGAGAGGATGAGAGGGAACAAGGAGCTTTCCTGATTTTGCTGAGGGTGGGGGGAGAGACACAGGCAGAAGCTGCTGTCGTGGCTCTGAGTGATGCTCCCCCGTGTCAGCTCTGGCACTGAGCAGTGTTCTTCTGCATCAGTCCTAGCCCTGAGTGATGCTCTTCTGCATTGTCCCGAGGCCCGAGGGCGGGTGTGTTGGGGGTGTCAGATCAGAGCTGGTTTCGCCCTGTCACCGACCCAGTGCTCCCGGGGGATTTTGCAGGCAGATGCAGGGGGCAGGGTATTGAGAGCTACGGGCAAAGGGGCCTTTGTGCTCACTGGACAGGAGCTGAAGGGATGCACAGTTAATGTACCAACTCTGCAGTTTGCTCCAGGGTGGCTCCGAGGGAGCCCTGCTGCTGCCACCAAGCACTCTGCAGCCAAAGGGCACACAGACACTGACAGCCACCTTATTAAAACACAGATTTAAAGGCTAATTTGATGGCTGATTCTGGCCTGGCTCTTTACCCCATGCATGCCCATGTAAGTGTGCCCCAGAACACCACCAAAACTGTTCCTGATAAAAGTTTCTTCAGTCTTTAAAAACCCACAAGAATGTCACTTCCTTATTTTGCCAAAAAACCCTTCAGAGCTTCGAGACTCCAGAGCAAAAGGAGGTAAGAGCAGGTTTCCCTACAGAGCACTGCAGGACACACATGCAAAGATGTTCCTTCCCATACATATATATATATATATATATATATATATATATATATGCATATACATATATATATATATGCATATACATATATATATATAAATCTGTGTGTACTCATATAAAGACACATGCACATTTTCTATAGCCAGGCACAATGGAGCAGGCCAGCGTGGCACATAAATCAAGCAGGCTGCCTGCCTGGCATTGACAGACTGGTTTAGGCAGTTGCATCTAATGCAGTTTTAGTCTGGCCTTACTTGTGTTAAACAAGTCCCTGACCTGCATAAGGCTGAAAAATTACCTGAGGAGCTGATCCTGTGGCTTATCGTACCAGGCAGCCTCTGGAAAGTGCTTCAGGCCCACTGGATGTGGCCATGCAGAGCCCATGCCGCTCATACATAGGAGATTCGTCGCAGTCCCTGCAGCCACAGCCTGGGCTTCATTTTGTTCTTGTTTGGGGTGTTAAACCTGGGTGACAGGCTCCCATACCCGCAGAGCCCATTCAGCCTGCAGCTGCGCCAGGAAACCCATGGGGAGACCCAAACTGCTGCACATCAGCATAGAAATGGGTATGACTTGGTGCACACACAGAAGGTAAATTGAGAAGAACAACAGAAATGGCTCCCATGTGCCAGGCAGTTAGGGCTGGTGGGGGAGAAGGGGGATGAGAGGGCACAGGGATGCTCAGCCCTGGGGGAGGGGGCAGCTGGGCTGCCTCTCTGGGGTTGCCCACCAAGGTGCCTGGACTAGCAGCAAAATGCAGCTGGTGGCCATCCCCAGGCAAGTGCCTGTCCCCTGCGGAGGCTGGACCTCAGGCTGTTGGAGGGCATCTTGCCTTCTGAGAAGACCACCCAACACCATCACGGCAAAGAGGAAAGAAAGGAGGGTGTTTTTCTTCTATGCCACCAACAGAGAGGGACCAGACAGTTTGGATAAGCTTTAGAAGTAATGCAAATAGCCTAAATAATCATCAGGCCAGATTCCTTCTGGACTGAGCAGTTGCTAGTGGTTGTTCAGAAACAAATACAAACCCAACTTTGCTCTCATCGAGTCATTCTTGAAGCACGAGATAAGCTTCATCCTCTCTGCTGCTGCTGCCAGGGTGAAAAGGGCCAAACAGTGCTCCCTTAACGACCAGCACCCTGACCCCCCCTGGCAGGGACCGGCAGAGGAACGCCTGGTCTGACATCCTCCGTCTGCAATACTCCTGTCCCAGTCCCACTGGGGCTGGGGGGCACTCACTGTGGGAGGGAGCTCAGGGCCTTGAGTCTCCTGGTTTCTGCTAAAGGCTCAAGCCCTCCTGTGCTCCCAGGCTCGGGGAACAGCCACAGCTGCTGGTGTCTTCCCTGGGCACAGGATGGGGGGCAGTGGGAGCAGGTGGAGGCTGTGGGAGGCAGAGGGACCATCAGCCCTTTCTGCCCCACGCACTGGGCTTCTGTCCCTGCGCTAAACCCTGCTGAGGCGGGATGAGCATCCCTGGATGAAGGCACATGTGGGAATGAGGCACCCACACCCAACACCGGGTGCCGCCTCCCCCCCGTGACGGCTTTGGGGTAGGAGTCCTGCCATTCCTGGTGTTTTTTAATAGAACTTCAACTATATTTAGATCAAAAATAAATACATTCTTGGCTTGAGCACACTTCTCAATGCCTGATGAATGGGCAGGACCTCTTTCACAGGAAACTATAAAATTCCTGGGGTGATGTCTTGCCTCTGCCAGGGCGAAGGGAAGCAGAGCCCTGTGCTGCTGCTCCGCCTGACAGCCTGTGCTCAGATGTCTTCACTATCAGAGCTGGCTGGTCATTACTAATAACTGCACTACTATGTTTATTATTCATGCTTTGTGGGAACAAGGGAAGAAACTTGATGATGCTGAAAACCTTATTCTGTGTTTTAAAGAAAGTGAAGCTTTGTAAGGCGCTGTTGGGTGAGGGCAGAGGACCCTGGCCTGGCTGAACCATCAGCAATGCTGTTTGGGGACAACACCTGAGTGTGGCCGTTTTCTGGCACCTCTTCCCCTTGTGTTCCCCAGCACTGTAACTAGGGGTGCTTGGGGGCCTTGGCTAGTTCCTTAATTTCTCTTTATGGACTTGCTGCCCAGGAATTGGCCCAGGCTGCTCCTGAGCACACCCACACTGTGTGCCCCGAGGTAACACATCCCACAGAGGCAGGCTGCAGCTCAAGCACAACTCTAGGTTTGCTTAAATGGACTGTTACTTCAGTTGCTGCAGCATGTGTCTGAGTAATCTCTTAGGGGGGGTCCTATCTGTGACCAAAGGAACAAACTGCCCGGTGAATACAAAGTTTTGCACTGCCCCCCCCTTCCCCTGAGTCTTCGAAGGTTTATCAAACAAGTTCAGTCTTTTGACACAACAACCCCTAAATGCAATTTCATCCAATAAATATGATAAATTGGTCGCAGCTACTGTGCTGTCAGCTCATTCTCTCCTGCTCTTGGTGGCAGGGGAGTGCAGTATTGTAGGAGACTGGAGGGAAATGGATTCCTGGTGGGTTTGTTCCAGCCCATAACCCAAAAACCTTCTTCATGAGACAAGGGAGGAGAGTTTGCACCGAAGCCTACCAACCTCCCACCCCAGGGCCCCAGGGCTACTGGTGCCTGCCTCAGCCCCGGGAGCTGCCAGCAGCAGCGTAGGGTCTGGGGGAAGGAGCTGTGCGCTCCCCTTCCCCACTTCTTCATCCCAGTTTAGCTTCCTCCATGTGTTGTTCCTTCTAGCACCTTTAAAATAACATTTCTTCTGTCTGATACAGCAGGTTCATTGCTTTATGTTGAAAAGCCAAAAGCATACTGTAGAAACTCTTTAAAAAACAGTATCATCCCAGGAAAAAATATTCTCACTGCATTGATCTGTCCATCTATCTTAGAACTGAGATTCTTCACATACTGACCCCTGACACAGCCTGCCTTTGTGGAGGAAACTGCTCTGAATTAGGCTGCTTTTCCCTCATCTTTCCAGGTCCTGGAGGTTTTTTTCCAATGTCTGAGGCTGTGTGGGGCTCTTGCAATCTCAACATGGTAATATCATATCTGTGTTTTGAGCTTGCTAATCATCAGTCAAACTCCCATTTTAGGGCATATTTTCACTAAAATGTTGCCTTATTTGGCCTTTTCCTCTCTGCCATTCCGGTGACATCACCCACCAAGCAGTCGATTCAAACATCTATCACCCCAGTGAGTCCCTGGGCAGCAGAGTGAGGCGGAAGGCGGGGGCACGGGGCCGGCGTCCCCTCCGTCAGGAACCGGGACATGGCAGGGCCATGAGCCCAAAATGCAGCCTGAGAAGGTGTGGAGTCTGTGTTTGAAGGGAGCTGCCTCCACAGCACAGACTGGGATGCACTGGGGCTCTGCTGCTGGCACATAGCCAGTGTGCCAAATCCTGCCCGGCCACCTAGGTGTGCTTAAGCGAAAACCCACCCCAAGTTACTGCTGAGCCCCCTCTTACTCACATCTCCATCACATGTGGTGCGTTACAGAGCACTCGCAGAGCTGTGGTTCCCAGAGCCGGCAGCTCAGGCGGCCTGGCCAGGGAGGGTCAGCTCTGGCACTGCAGGCTGCAGTGAGCTGAGTTTATTCCACGTCAGTAGTTTTCCTCTCCCTGCCCACCCTGCGGATCTGGCCGATCCGGCGGTAATATTTACTGGTGACGAGACCAAGTAAATTGGTGGCAGCTCTGCAGTAAATTAGAGGTGCTATTTCCTCTGGTACAAGCCAGACATCTTTTGCCCTCAGAATAACAATAAACCAGCTTCACAGCTTATACGAAAGTTTCTAT